ACGAAAAGGGGGCGTTGTAAAGCAAATAAATAACACGTGACTTGGGCTTAGTCGTAATCTCCACCTGGAAGTAACCTGACTCTCCGAACAAGTGAAAAGAGATAAATAAGTGCATAAGTGAAAAAAGTAAAGAAGTGATTAAAAGAAACATACAAACAAGGAACTATTAAAGAACAAGAAAAAAAGAAAAGAAAAAGAAAACGGGGCGTAAACCACAGAACAAAAAGAAAATAGAGAACGAAAAGGAACGTGAAATACATATTACAAAACCAAGAAAAACAAAGTTTATTTTTTTATGTGAAATCGTTAAATGGGAAACATAAAAAAGCTAGAGATAGAAAAAAGATACAACAACGGAGAATTGAGTGCACAGACTACACGCAGGAGCAAGATAAAAGACCTGTAAAACGAATGGAATCTTAAAATACCTTAAACAAGTGAGTGAGAGATAGATAGATAGATAGAGAGAGAGAGAGAGAGAGAGAGAGAGAGAGAGAGAGAGAGAGAGAGAGAGAGAGAGAGAGAGAGAGAGAGAGAGAGAGAGAGAGAGAGAGAGAGAGAGAGAGAGAGAGAGAGAGAGAGAGAGAGAGAGAGAGAGAGAGAGAGAGAGAGAGAGAGAGAGAGAGAGAGAGAGAGAGAGAGAGAGAGAGAGAGAGAGTGAGAGATAGATAGATAGATAGAGAGAGAGAGAGAGAGAGAGAGAGAGAGAGAGAGAAGAGAGAAACAGAGAGAGAGAGACAGAGAGAGAGAGTGAGAGAGAGACAGAGACAGACAGAGAGAGAGAGAGAGAGAGAGAGAGAGAGAGACAGAGAGAGACAGAGAGAGAGAGAGAGAGAGAGAGAGAGAGAGAGAGAGAGAGAGAGAGAGAGAGAGACAAGAGACAGAGAGAGAGAGAGAGAGAGAGAGAGAGAGAGAGAGAGAGAGAGAGAGAGAGAGAGAGAGAGAGAGAGAGAGAGAGAGACAGAGAGAGAGAGAGAGACAGAGAGACAGAGAGAGAGAGACAGATAGACAGACAGAGAAAGAGACAAAAAGAGAAAAAAAGAGTACGAGTGAAACACGACGAACAAAAGAAACACACGCACAAACGAAACGAAAATCAAACATTATCAAAAACAAACAAACAAAAAACAACAGAACGCTCGAAAAGAAGACATAAATACAAGAAAAAACAAGAAAACAAAATAAAATAAAAGAAAGATACCCACACATCATGGCAATTCCTGACTTAGACACGCAGGTTCTTCTCACTCCCTCGGGATTCCTCAAGGTTTGCGAAACGGTAAGTCAAAAGGAACGGAATGGGGAGAGAGAAAGAGAAAAAAAGAATAATCAACTAGGGCGATGGTAACTGCGATAGGGATAATGACGATAATTGCGTAGAATAAATAACGAAGACGATGGGTACTGCGATAGGGATAATAACGATAATTACGTAGAATAAACAACGAAGACGATGATAGCCGTGATAGGGATAATGAAAATTACGAAGAATAATAAATAACGAAGACGATGATAACCGCGATAGGGATAATGACGATAAGTACGAAAAGGAATGAATAACGAAGACGATGATAACTGTGATAGGTATAATGACGATAAGTACGAAGAGGAATAAATAACGAAGACGATGATAACAGCGATAGGGATAATGACGATAATTACGAAGAATGATAACGAAGACTATGATAACTGTAATAGGGATAATGACGACAATTACGAAGAATAATAAATAACGAAGACGATGGTAACAGCGATAGGGATAATGACAATAATTACGAGGAGACATTAAAGACAGGGAATGACGGAATAGAAAGAGAGAGAGAAAAAAAGGAATAAATAACGAAGACAATGATAACTGCAATAGGGATAATGACGATAATTACGAAGAAGAATAAATAACGAGGACAATGATAATGATGATAATTACGAACAGATAATAAAGACATTAGGGAATGGCGGGTGGAGGAGGGCGGTGATGGGGGGGGGGAGGGGGGGAACTAAACGGAACGAAAAGGAGAGAAAGAAAATAATATTAAATAACGAAGACGATAATAACCGTAATGGTAATAATAATGATGATAATTAAGATGAGATAATGAAGACAATTAGGAAAGAGGAAGAACAAGTAACGATGATAATAACTGTAATAAGAATAAAGATGAAAATTACGATATAAAAAAAGAGGAAAGGGGGGGGGGAGTCAAACGAAACGAAACAAGAAGAGAGAAAATAAATAAATAAATAACGAAGACGGTAATAAAGGTAATATGAATAAAGATGATGCATAAGAAGACGAGGAAGGTAATAACAACGAAGAGGATAAACAAATAGATAATAAAGATGAACCGACCCTAAAACCCTCCCTCCCTTCCTGCCTTCCATCCTGCAGGCTATGACCATCCTAGCACTCAGCATCTCCCAGGGGATTCCAGGCCTCGGCTTTGGGAGCGAGAGCCTCGATTTCTTTGGCGGAGGGACCTTGGTGCTGTCGCTGGTCGTGAGTTCGCTTCTCCTTGCGACTCTCCTCTTGGGGGGCCAGCAGATACAGAAAGTGCTTTTTGTGAGTAACTTGTCCTTCTGTTTATGCAGATCAAGGAGAGTGTTCATGTATTCGCTTATTTATGTGTTTATACGTTTTTTTTGTTTATTTATTTACTTATTTTTTGGGGGGAGGGTTTATTAGAAGAATGTGGTTTTTAACTGGTCCGTTGCAATCTTCACCCATCACCTTTTGCAATTTACACTTTGAATTTTCTGTGAAAGGACTTCCAAAGGTTACGCAAATTACTGCAAATGGTCAGAGATTCTGTTGCTACATGTTCATTTAACAAATCTGTTTAGTGTCATTTGAATACCATGCTAATTCTGCACAGTTCAGTAATGTTATTCATTTCAATAATGAATATCGTTCAGTATATCATTTTAGAGGTATAGTTATATATACTAGTAGATTTCTAAGGGGTAGATGGTCACTAATGTAAAAACTTCACTGACTGACTGTCTGAAAAAAATAGTTACTGTGATCAAAATAACAACAATAGTAATAACAACCATCAAGACATCACTGATCTATCCAACCCCTCTAAGCCGCAAACAGAACTCTGGCCCTAATTCCATTCTCATTCAGTTCCTCTTCCCCATGCCCCAGGAGACGAAAGTGAACTTCATCCTGGCGGCCCTAATGGTGGTGTTAGGAGGCCTCACCATCCACACCTACAGTGTCCAGCCCGGAAGATCTTCCCCCGTGGCCGATTCTGGAAAAGCTGTCGGCTCCATGTGCCTGATCAACTCCCTTTTCTACGGCCTTGACACCTTCTTTGCTTACCAGAATTACAAATGTAGTTGAGCTGCAGCTTGTCATAACATTTCAAAAGTAAAGTTAAATATTATGTAATTCATATCTATATTATGTTGTGTGTATTACTGATGACTGTAAATTTGCTGCTAATTTTGTGGAAAGGAGCTATCTAATCATATTATTTTGTGCATTTTGTGTATTTATCATCATTCCTGACAAAGAAAACTACATCAAGCTATAGTGTATATGCATCCTTATCCATAGACTGTACATACGCAGGGACGTGTGGGTACACGCACACATGCACAATTATTCAATATGTACACATATATATATATATAACATACATATAAATATATACATTATATACATACAAATATATATATATATATATATATATATATATATATATATATATATATATATATATATATATATATATAACATTTTGAACTCTACAAGAATTCCTTATTAGATGGATAAATAACTAAGATGGACCATGCACTTACAATGAGAAACTCTTAATGAGTTTAAAAGGTTACAATTTAATTTTATTTGTTATTATGGCTGTTTTCCTTCTCATGTGTATGGATATATGTATACATGTGAACATGTGTATATATATATATATTATATATATATATATATATATATATATATATATATATATATATATATATATATATATATATATATATATATATATATATATATATATATATATATATATATATATATATATATATATATATATATATATATATATATATATATATATATATATATATATATATATATATATATATATATATATATATACATATATATATATATACATATATATATATATATATATATATACATATATATATATATACATATATATATATATATATATATATATATATATATATATATATATATAAATATATATATATATATATATATCTATATCTATATGTATCAGTGTTAACATCAGATCTTTAAAAAGAAGATTGGACATAAAGACAAATAAATGCTAAAACATATATTTTCCACATTAATGACACAGTATTTACATTAGCAATAAAACATAAGGAGATATCTATAAAAAAAAAATAAAAAAAACACTCACAAAATTACAATTCTCTGAAATAAAAAAAAATAAAAAGTAAAGCAGAAATCTCTAAAGAAAACAAACAAATTGATTTATTTCTCTAAGAAATTTACTGCTCTTTCTTATAGGAATTGAAGGAGCTGTCAGTCATTTCCAATTTTTTCTGCCAAGTGAGTCACACTTTTAGTATAAGATTCCACTTTTTTTTTTTTTTTTACGTGACTCATGCAAATTCTTCACTGGGTTTAAAGTTTTTCTCTCTCTCTTTTTCTGTTTACCATCATAGACACAAAACATACACAATATAATACAATTTTCACGTCACTCGCAATTTGAAAATATTTCTCCAGTTTCTCTTTCCGCTCTACACTGCGACACCTATGATTGTACTGTAAACTTGCTATAGAAGTCTTAGAACGAAGGAGTCAGTATAATGTCACATGCAAGTAACACTTGATTATCTTTCACGTATATTTGCAAAAAAAATGTAAAAAACAAATAATAATACAAAAATAAAATCACTGATCAAGGATATTAGTAAAATGTCACTAACTTGATTTTTTTAAAATATAATAAAAATACTAATAAAAAAATAAAAATAAAGATAATAATAATAATGAATACTATGGCACTTACAATACTAATAATGATAAAAATTTGTACAAAATGGAGCCTAATATCACTTTCATTGTAATTTGTCAGTCCAAGTGAACTTCTTATCTTTGTATGTGACTTCACGGTATGTTGGCGGCAAGTCTGTCTCCTCCTGTTCTGCTCTACGCGGTGTGCATATGAGGGAGCGCACGCTGGCATCGAACCCACAGTCCACCAGGCCCTCTTGTGCAAAAGCCTACGAGAAATCAAGAAGGGTTAGTGGCTTCTACGAACTCTTTCTGTCTGTCTGTCTATTGTTATAAGGAAACGTTCATCACTTTTAGAAAACTGATGATAGGGATACCTAAGATGTGACATTGATCAATAAGAGATTATGCATTTGCAAATAACAGAATTCACAGAAGGACAACAATAGAAAGCGACAGACGAGACCGATCTGACGGTGGGAAACGCATGTGCCAGAGAAAATCTCAGTTCTGTGAGCCTATGGTGGCCTTACTTTTCACCCCAGACCAATCTTGAATTGACCGACCTGAGGAGCTGCAGTCGCATCGTGGTGGCTGTGCTGCGAGAAGGGGAGTGTGGATGGAACAGGAACGAGTGAGAGGGTGTAGCTGTCTGTCGCTAGGGAAAGGAGGGAGCACAGCTGATGCACAGTGTGTGGCAGGATGGGGCCTGACACCTCCATGCTATGGTGCATGTCACCCTCCTGCCGGATAACACTTCCTTTGGCCTGGAATACAATAATCAACAAAGATAAATTACAGATATATCACACAAATACATTAAATTACAGATATATCACACAAATACTTTAAATTACAGATATATCACAAATAAATTACAGATATATAACACAACTTAAATCATATCATATATATAGTTATACTGTACAAGCATTTGTATTACAGCTGTTACATACAACACTTTAAAGGAGGGCTACCTTGAGTGTTTTGAGTGTGCTGCCCTGGAAGGCCACAGGGGACAGAAGAGTGGGTGGCACTCCAGCCAGGAGCCCTGTGGTACCCACACAACTGCGGCTGTTCAAGAGGAAGTTTATGAGGCCCTGGGTCTCCATGCCCTCCACATACACCAGGGATGCAGCAGTCTTGTCTACATTCTTGAACTTTTCTCTTTCTCTGCACAGGAGATACAAACAGCCTTCTACATTCTGTCAAATTTATGTATGGATTGCCCAATCTTTGCTTGAATATCTTCGAATAAAATAACTTACCTTAATCTTAATTCAAAACACAAATTAGTAGCAAGAAAAGGTACAACAAGAGAGAAAGAGTCCAGAAGCCTCTTTATACGGATCCTTCCCTCACACTCACTTTACACAAATAAAAAAAATAAATATGAGAGAGAGAGAGAGAGAGAGAGAGGGAGAGAAAGTGGGAGAGAGAGAGAGAGAGAGGGAGAGAGAGAGAGAGGGAGAAGAGAGAGGGAGAGAGAGAGAGAGAGAGAGAGAGAGAGAGAGAGAGAGAGAGAGAGAGAGAGAGAGAGAGAGAGAGAGAGAGAGAGAGAGAGAGAAAAGAGGCTAAGTCAAAGACAGACAAAGGTGGGGACAGATAACTGGGCATTGTAGAAACTGAGAAAGCCGCCTTCTCTTACTACCCTACAAACTGTCCTTAGCACTCACAGCTTCACGCGATTGGGGTTCAGATTGGGGAACTGCGAGGTTTCAACCCCAAGATTCTCTAGCCAGGAGGTAGCCTCCTCCTCCTTCTCTTCCTCCTCCTCCTCTTCTTCCTCGTCTTCCTGCTGAAGCTCCTGTTCATTCTTAGTGCCGCTGTTGTGGAAGGGCATTTCAAATTCAATGTCTGGAAAAGGTTGAGATTATTGTAGTTTTATCTATAAATAGAGAATGTCTGAAGCAACATATTTAGAATATTTATATATCAATAAGACACATGCAAATAGATATAGTTTATGATCCTTAACCCAATACTGCTGGGTGAAGAAAATAAATACAAACTCTCCCTCTGGAGATTTATGTCAATAAGCCGACTTTGAGTGCAGGAGTTCAATATATCAAGCTGAATTTTCTGCTTGAAGTACTTGGCACATCGCTGTGGCATACAGCTGTACTCTGCAGACCAAGCAGTTTGTTATGATGCCGCTAGGCGTGACCCGGCAGTATCAGGTTAAGCAGCTGAAACATTAACCTGCTTCAGATGGGTCACGTGTACTGGCGTCACAACAAACCACTTGGTCTGCGGGGTACACCAGTATGTGCAGCGATGTGCCAGAGTATGTGGAGCAGAATGTTTCACTTGACGTAGTGGACTCCTGTGCCCACTGTCTAGCTGTTGCAAGAAATCATTAGAGTTTAACATGCTCAAATGTTTTCTGTTACCAAGTGGTGATGGGTTAAGAGAGTATGGTTATCATGACCTATTTCCCTCAAAATTATGTAAGATCACTGTTCACACCTTAACCCCTTCCGATGGATCATGTCGTGAGGTGTCAAAACCAACCGTTTGATCTGCGGTGGGCGGTTGTATGCAGGCCAAAGCCATACGAGCCGCTGATTCGGCTTGAAGTACTGAACTCCTGCGCTCAGAGTCAGTACATTGCCATTGATCTCCAGAGCGTAGATTTTTTTTTTTATAGTTTTCTTCACCCGTCATCAAGGGGTTAAAAACACACTCAGATGTGAATCAACCCCTATGATCTGGATGACATGTCCATCATGTCCTGAAAAAATTTAGCTTGAGGGGCGATTGGCGTGACCATGCCGTCATGGGAGAATTTGGCTGCAGACGAGGATGATGGGGACATACTGTCATGAGAATTTCAGCTTAAGGCCAGGGTGACAGGAATGCCTTGCCACGAGTGCACAAAGCTCTCGGAGGGTATTTAGGAAGGGACTTTTGCATTACTTACATTGATAAATGAGTGTGGAATGTACCATCCGTGAGCCATGACTAGAAGAGCGCTGGCTCCAGGGAGGATGCTATTTCCATGCTCAGGATCCTATTCTTGTCTGCCATGACCAGCAGTGCAGGTTGTATTACAAAAAATTGAAGAAAAAAAGTTACGTGTTGCTATTGTTATTATTATTGCACTGAGTTCTGGACTACCTAGAGAGATGATATGGAGTCTGCACAAGGGAAACAGTCCATTACCAACTAGATAAAGCAAATCAAATAAAAAACATAGACACTGGCAAATGGCAAAAAAGCTAAAAATGCTTGTGCGAAAAAACAAAAACAAAGTAACACTGCAAATGGGAGGCAAGGAATCTTGTCACTGCATAAAAGTATTCATGTGTATCCAGCCTACAAACTGTAGCCGCTCAAGTAAGCCTAATGCCTGTATTTAGGGTCATGTGTGGGCAGTAAAGTATCCAGATCCAAGAGGTTAAAACTGTGGCAGCCACTGGGACATATCTGGGAGGGGTAGCAGTGCAATGCTGACCTTAAGTTTTCACATCACATGGTCCATTTTCCCATGCCGAGTACTTAGGATTGGGCACGCGTATCGTATAACAGCACGGCACCCCAGCCTGAGCTCCTTTGGCCTTTAGGAACAGAGAGAGAGCAGATAGGAGCGAGAGGGACTCATCTGTGGAGGGTCAATTTGTGATGCAGCAGTAGGGAAACCTTGGGAAAGTCTGAGAAGACATGGGAAGAAAAAACAGCAAGGAAACCAGTGGCTGACAGGATATGGTACCCCCCTTAAGCACTTCCTAGCCACCATCCTCTCTTTTCCTAGGCTTACTGACACTCCTCCCCCTCTGTCCTGTTAATCATTAGTAACTTCTGATTTTTACTTGGTGCTGACGAGTAACATAAATTGCAGTGAAAATATAACTAAAGAGCAAGCAGTGAACTGTTTATACAGTTATAACTCAAAATCATATTTTATTCCATTTAAAACTTCAATTGTATTTGGAAAGAAAGGGGATTTTCTTTGCAGTAAGAAAAATTATTATGTGAACCTAATATTTTCATAACACAAAAAAATAACATTTATATGGAAGGAAAGCTGCACAACTACACATATTTTAGTGTCATGAAGTAATGCATTCATAACACTGCAAGATTTTACAACTTATAAGGATTTTTTCCTTCATAATTTTTATGTATCAAATAATTACTCACAGCCCTGAAAATAGATTACTGGAATTAATAATGCATGACAACATAAACATAGGGTATTCTTGCTCACGAACAGCAAAAGTATACCAATATTTACTTATATGAAAAGATGCCATCATTTACTAACTAAAGTAATTTTTTTTCCAAACATGTGTATGCGGTGACAAGACTCTGTGCCTCCTACTTGCAAAGTTATTTACTCTTTTTATGTATAAATGTTTTTAGCTTTTCGGCCATTTTCCAATGTCCATACTTGAAATTTTATTTGCAATATCCAGATGGTAATAGACAGTTTTCTTCACACAGACTCCACATCATCTCTCTATGTAAGCTACAACTCAGTACAAGAAAAATAAAACAATGTAACCCTTTTTTTTTTCTTCTTCTTTTTACGTATATTCAATTTTCTGTAATACAACCTATGTTGCCACTCACTGCACCAAGATAATGATGCTGAGCATGAACATGGGCCCCTCCATGGAGTCGTAGCTCTTAAGACACCGCTCACGAATATTACATTGCTCAGTTGTATACCAATGGGAATTATGCAAAATTGCCAAATGGGTAAAAATAAACCTTCCAAGAGGGTTTTGCACTCATGGCGAGTCTTTTCCATCACCCCGGCCTTCAGCCAAAACGCTTACAACGGCATGTTTGTGTCACCCGTCCTTCAACCAGATTTTCCAGTGACGGCATATTCACATCATCCTCCCCTTGACCTAGATTTTTTTCATGACATGATGGCTACATCACCTGGATCCAAGTTCAAATGCAATTCAATACCATACAACATTTAATACAACACAGCTATCCTAATAGAACAACCAATCCGTAAACCTTCCCTACGCACTACAGAATCCCTCCCAAGGACATGCTTCTGCCGTTCCTTACCTTCGTTCTTCATGGCTTCTCTAAAACCCCTAGTTGTTGGCGTGATGAGGGCATGGGCCTGCGAAATGCCCGCCACGCCTGCTGCTCGGAATAGGCAAGTGAAGGTAGGGCCACAGACGTAGAAGTATGGACACTGCCTCACGCGCAGCAGCTGGTGTAGTGAACGCAGGCTCTCGCTCCTGTTTGGGGGAAAAGTGAGTTCAAGAGACCGCAAGGACTTTTCTATCATCGTACACCTTGGACAGGAGGCAAAGGGTTCATGGAAACATAATAACATGTTAATTATAAGAAACTTCACAATCCCTTTTCTTTGTTTTATATACCAGTTAAATCAAATAACAACAAACTAATGAAAGACATAACCAAAACCTCAAAGGACTGAAAAAATACATTAAAGATTTGTCTGTTGAGACTTGATTCTCATATAATCATTATTGCCAGGCACATGCACTCTCCACTGTAGTTTTTTTATCACACGCATGGCCCCATAAGCACTGATTTGCCAAGGAGTCAGTTACTTGTTTGCCCCATTTTTTAATAACATTACAATCATTATGAATACTAGTACAAAATACTAGAATAAATAAAGAAAAAGAAAGGAAAAATGAGAGAGAGAGAGAGAAAGAGAAAGAGAGAGAGAATGTGTACAGTGTACAGCCATTATACTTGGCATTCACACCATAACAGTACCACATCAGTTGTTATCCATATACAACACCTCCCAACACTGAATACATTCCAATGAACTACGCTACTGTTCTAGTCTGGAACCAGAGACAGCCAACCTAAAGCAAATCAATGTCCCTCAGGGTTTTTCAAGGAAGTGCACTTTCTCACCACTCAGCATGAATTGCGTCTCCCAGTTTCTTGTCAGTGCCGAAGAGTCCCGTCTGTGTCGTAGCTTTCAGGTTGTCTCGGGGGAAGAGCTGGAGCCAGGGCAGACTGGGGTACTGCCAGACGAGGCAACACTGATAGAACTGGGCATTTGGAGATGTGTCAAGGGTTCTGTCTTCACTGTTGTCTGATGTGGAGTTCAGGCAGCGTACAAAACCCGTTGTCCCTGAGGCTTCCTCTGATGTCTGTGGAGAGATTTCAAGTTAATTCACTAAAAGTAAAAAAAAAAAAAGAATCATATCAGAAATAATTGTAATACCAATAAAAAGTAACAATTACCATAACAATACCAAATATAAAAATAATATTAATAAAAATAACAAGAATAATAAAAATAATAATACTGATAAATTTTTAAAATTTTTTAAAATTTTTAACTTCCAATTATACAAATCAAAACATAAAACTAGGAGTCAAAATTACATACACCAAATTTTCAAATTCCTAAGTTCTGTTGTCCGCTCAACTGGCATCATAAAAAATATATATATATATAAAAAGAAGAAGATGAAGAAGAAGAAGAAGGAAGAAGAAGAAGAAGAAGGAAGAAGAAGAAGAAGAAGGAAGAAGAAGAAACACCACGCACGATCTACAAACCTTAAAGTTGTGTTTCCATGGGAGAGGCTTGGCGGACTTGAATCTCACTCTGCTCTTGAGGCTCCAGTCGACTGCCAGCTGCTCTGTCCACGTCACAGAAGGAACTTCTTCTGTCTATTATAAGAGGGGAAAGAGTGAGGGGTGCAAGAAAGCAGAAAGAGCATGAGTGATCAATAAAGCTGAAAAAGTGTAGGGAATCAGATCGAGTAAGATGAAAAATTTGGGTAACTTTGGTTAATCAATGATCAACTATTTGAAGACTAAATAAACAGGAATAATTCATATGACAAGTTACATAGTTATTTTATATAAATTTACAAATGAATAAATAAGGTACGTATATAGCATATCCATAAACGTATACATATGCCTACAGGTACATAGATAAATACACTGAATGGACATATTTCTAACTGAGCTATTTGTGTGTATCTAAATATCAGTAATACCTCATATGATAATGAATCTATTTCAGATCTACAAATTGAGCCAACCATTCCTTTTCTCAATATCAGAACCACCAGAGGAGTCTTACCTTGAGTGAGAGTTCCTCCTGCTGTTGGAGTTTGAGGATGTTGGAGAAGCTGTAAACCTGCTGTGACGACACCTTCTGCTTTGGTGCAGACGGACTTAGCATACGAAAGAGGGATGCGTCGCTCGTTATCTCCAGGTCACCATCTTCTTCTGCTCGTTGCTTTTTGTTGGGGGAACATCTGTTGCAAAGGGAAGAATAATAAAATGAAAGAAGGGGGGAAGGAGGGAAGAGGGAGGAAGAGAGAGAGAGAGAGAGAGAGAGAGAGAGAGAGAGAGAGAGAGAGAGAGAGAGAGAGAGAGAGAGAGAGAGAGAGAGAGATGGAGAGGGAGTGGGAAAAAAGAAAGAGAGAGAGAGGGAGTGGGAGAAAAAAGAGAGAGTGAGAGCGAAAGTGAGAAAGTGTTAGAGTGAGAAAGAAGAGAGAGAAGAAAAAGAAGAGAGAAAAAAGGGAGAAAGAGGGAGTAGAAGAGA